TCTCTTTAATCCACTCCACTCTGACTTCCATCTGCACCACGATATTTGAACTGCTCTTGTCAAGGTCACCCACAGCCTCTATGAAGCAAGGCCAAATGTTGCCACACTGAGTTCATCCTTCTCCACCTCTCCACAGAAGCATTTGATACAAGTGACCATGTCCTCCTTCTTGCAGCACTTTCTTCCCTTGACTTCCATGACACTGCCCACTTAAATCTTGAATGTCCCTCTGATAATCTCATCTAATCCCATGATTTTAAATACCATTATAAGCTAACAATGCTAATACCATTATATGCTAATAACACCATCACTGCAGTGTGCTGACTGCAAAAAGCAGGGGAAAAATGTCATCCATTTTTTTTTTATTATTTTTTCGATGTGCCTCCTAAAAATTTTAAAATGATAGAAGTAGGTCACTTGTATTCCTACCGAACAGCATTGGTGTGGTGGCGCTCACATTCAACTACTTTCCTGACATCTCACTTAGACGGCTAAGTAATGGGCATTATGTTAAATAATAGATGACACATCCCCAGACAGAATTCTTGGTTTTCTCCCACAAACTTATTCCTCTCCCAGATTTTCCTACCTCAGTAAGTGGTTACAGAACATCTAGTTACTCCACTCAAAAACCCAGGTGACATTCATGCTTCCTCCCTCATCCCTCGTGTCCAATTCATCAGCAAGGGGTGTGGGTTCGCCCCTAGAATGTATCTGAGGTCCATCCTGTGCCCTCTTTCCCCACTGCCATCGCCCTGGCCCCAGCCTCCAATATCTCTGGCCTGCACATCTCCTACCTGGAATCTCTCCTCTGACACCCCTGCAACTGGCCTCTCCCAGCAGCCTGAGTGATCTTTTCAATGAAAATGAGATCATGTCACTCCTCTGCCTAAATCATTTAGTGGCTTCTTAGTGACGTTAGAATAAAGTTCAGCCTTCTTTTCCTGACAGGAAGTCCCACTCTCTTCTCATTGGCCTCCTTTCAGGTTCCTGGAACATGCTAAGAAGCTCTTTCCTGCTTCAGGAATCTTTGTACTTGTGGGTCCCTCTGCCTGGAACATCCCTCTCCTTCTCCCAATCCTTCCACCTCTGGCTCCTTTTCATACCTTAGGCTTCAGCTCAAATCTCATTTTCTGTTTTTTTGTTTTTGTTTTTGTTTTTTTTTTTTGATAGAGTTTTGCTCTGTCACCCAGGCTGGAATGCAGTGGCACAATTATAGCTTACTGCAGCCTCGAACTCCTGGGCTCAAGCGATCCTCCTGCTTCAGCCTCCCAAATAGCTGGGACTACGGGCACATGCCATACCACACTCAGCTAATTTTTTTTTTTTCATGAAGATCAGGGTCTCACTATGTTGCCCAGACTGGCCTTGAATTCCTGGCCTCAAGTGATCCTCCTGCCTCGGCCTCCCAAAGTGCTGATATTACAAGTGTGAGCCACTGCACCCAGCCTCTACTTCTAATTGAGCAAAGGGGCTATATGTCTAAGGTAGAATTAATGAGTGAAGATTTGTTTTGTCTGATTAGTAAGTGTTGAGGACTGGTGTATCTGGATTTCTTGCCTCCATGTTGACCTCGATTATTGAAAAACAATCATCTTTCTATGATTTGACTATACCTCAATGTCTTTAGTCAAAACATTCCTTTCTTTCCTTCCCTCCTCCCTTCCTTCCTTTGCTCTCTTTCTTTTTCTTTCTTTTTTTCTTATTGTGGTAAAATATACATAACAAAATTTACCATTTTAACAAGTTTTAAGTGTATAGTTGAGTGGCATTAAGTACATGGACATGGTTGTGCAACCATCACCACCATCCATCTCCAGAGCTTTTTTCATCTTCCCAAACTGAAAATCTGCATCCATAAACATTAACTTCCCATCCCTCCTCCCCCAGCCCCTGGCAACCACCATCCTATTAATACTTTCTGTCTTATGAGTTTGACTACACTAGGTACCTCATACAGTATTTGTCCTTTCGTGGCTGGCTTATTTCACTTAGCATAATGTTTTCAAGGTTCATTGATGGGATTAAGACCACTGGGACTTAATGATGCTATGTCTGAGGCCGTGAGAGGATAGGAGGTGAAGGAATTGCCTGAGCAGAAGCCTGAAATAAGGGCAGATGTTAATTGCCTAGTTGGGGGACATATATCAGCAATTTGGGAGTACAGCAAAGCATGCTCCAACCTCAGAGACTAAGGGGTCTCATGCATGAAAAGCCATGGGCGGCCTGACATGAAAACTTCTCATGGCTGTAGAGGTAGATAGCCATATGTCAGCCAGGGAGAAGGGTCTCAGGGCTTCCATTGTTTGAACAGTGGGCCAAGTTCCTTCTCTCCCTTTCTCTCAACAATGCCTCAGTTAATATAAAACCAGTCTCCCAGTGGAAAGCATGTAGTTTCTTTGTTCCTTGATCAAATGGGTCACAGCTACTGAAGTTAGAGATTGATATCCATGTACATAGCTTGAGCTTGGGATAAAATTAGTTCATTTACCTTGATCAAAAGGATTGTGCCTACTGAAAAATTATGTGTTTTTCACTTCTAGAAAGAAGGAAATTACACTAGTACACCTTGTGATTTTGGGGGGACCCCTGAAAACTTTGATCATTGTATCCCATGATTTTTTCACATGAGATCATTGTATTTTGCAACATGGCAAAGAGAATAAAAAGCAAGTACTGGGTTTCAGTTGACGCAACCTTGGCACCAGAGTGCTGGTGGTCCCCTGACTTCCCCACTTTCTTAAATTGTATTTCTGTTTCTGTGTCTTTGTTTATTCATCTCTTGCAACACAGTCTGCCAGGGGACCCTATCTTTATTGGGGATGTTGTGAACCCCCGATAGTTCATCCATGTTGTAGCATGTGTCAGAATTCCCTTCCTTTTAAAGGCTGAATAATATTCCATTGTATACACCATGTTTTGTTTATTCATTCATCTCTTGATGGACGTTCAGGTTGTTTCCACCTTTTGGTTGTTGTGAATAATGCTGCTGTCAACATGGGTGTAGAACTATCTGTCCAAGTCCCTGGCTATATATCAATTCTTTCGGATATATAGCCAGAAGTGGAATTGCTGGACCATATGGTAATTCTATTTTTAATTTTCTGAAGAACTACCATACTATTTTTCACAGCAGCTGCACCATTTTACATTCCCACCCGCAATGCACAAGTGTTCCATAAAATCATTGACTTTATAATTAACATTTTTCCTGATTACAGTACATGTTGGCTGTAGAACATTTAGAAAATGCAAGAAAGAAAAATGTAGAAAATTAAAATTCCTTTTATTCTATCAACAGAAAGCAGACAAACTCTATAAAATAATTTAAGGAGGTTTATTCTCTGCCAAATTTGAGGACCATGGCCCGGAGCCACATCCAAGAAACCTTGAGCAAATGGACTTGCTGTGGCTGGGTTACAGTTTGGTTTTATACATTTCGGGGAGAAAGGAATTACAGGTAAAGTCATAATCAATACATGGAAGGCATACATTGGTTTGGCCCAAAAAGGTGGGGCATCTCAAAGAGGAGGCTTACAAGTCATAGGTGGATTAGGGATTCTTTAGTTGACAATTCGCTGAAAGAGTTAGGCTTTGTCCAAACGACTAGGAATCAGCGGATAGGAATGCCTGAGTTAAGATCAGGGTCTCCTATCATTTATGTGATGCTATACATAGCAGAGTAAAACACATCATGAAAACCTGTTTACTGAGATTTTTATCATTGTTAGGCCTGACTCACCAGGCCCCCTTAGAAAAGAATTTTTGGGGCAAAGAAAAAGTCCTCAATTCTACACACCGGGACATGCCCTTAATTTTTATTATGCCCAACGGAGAGAAGACAGTGTTTGTTTCCCTGGGACGATTCTATCGCTATCTGGCCCTGCTTGGACTTCGTCCTCAGAGCCCTGCCTATCCTGGCTGTCTCCACGACCCCAATCGTCAGTAAAGTTCATGCAGTTAAACTGGCTGCTGAGTTAAATTTGCGGGTTGTTCCTGGCAGGGTCACAGGTGCAACAAGGGTTAGTCACATTCCCCGTGGGTCTGTTTCCTCATCTTTAAAAGCCACCTCAGTGTTGTTTTTGTTTGTCCTTCACAATCCACATTTATTTCACCATAGACATAATGTTTAAATTTAGTTGCCAAACTCTTAGGCTTCCGAATATTCTAGTAAAAATGACTGCTCGGTGGAAATGGTGATTTCATGGACGACAAAGTTCCTCCCACGGACACTTACACAGTCACACAAGTGGGTATCCCTGCTAAACGGTCCCAGTCACACACACTCAACGACCCACGGCGAGTCAGATCCAAACGCCGCACACCGTCACAACAATCACCGCGCACACAGCGGAGGTCACTTGCTCACCCGGTCACTTACAATCACACGCAGAAACTCCCACGCCGACTGCACTCCCACCGCCCCAGACCTACCCGCGGCGCCCCATGGGCTCGAACCGCACCTCAGTGTTGACATGGCAAAACATAAAATGTTTGAGGAAAGTGATTTGTCTACAGAAACGTCCTACAAACACACCATCCACGTGAAGAATTTAGCCTTCCTCTTTTGACCAGAGGGCACTCCAGGACTTCAGTCCGGTCCCTTAAAGGACCCGCACCCCAACGAACAAGCAAAGGGCAGGAGAAATCCCCGCCCCTTTCACTTCCTCAAATGCCCATTGGCTGACTCCACTGTCAGTCCTGCTGTCCTATCACCGTAGCAGTTTGGTCTCCTGGCCCGTACTCTCATTGGTCCTTCCTGCCGTCGCTCTGCGCCAGGGGCGTTCCAGAGTTGGCCACTGAGAGTCTCAGGATTCCGGATTTAAAAAACGCCGGCGGAGAAGTAGGCAGGGCGGGCGATTTGAACGCGAGGCGGTACAGAAGGCGGCTGGGCCCCCTCCAGAATTCCCCCAGACATCAGCCTTTCGCCCTCCGGACCCGGAAGTCCGATCACTCGGAGCCGTGGGGCTGTTCGCTGGGACCCTCCGCGGCCCGCCATGGGCCCGCGCCGCCGGAGGCGCAAGCCCGAGACCCCGACGAGGCGCGAAGAGAACCCGACCCCCGGCCCCTCGCGGCGCCGCCCCTCCGTAGGTAAGCTCTGCGCACCTGCCACTCTGAGCCGCCTGCCTGGGAGCCGCCTACCCCCCTTCTGCCGCCTGCCTGGGTGCACGACCGGCCCTGCATCCCCACTTCACATACCGGAAGACCGAGGCTCGCCTGTGGAACCCGAACCCCCTCGACTCCCGGCCCCGTGACCCTCCTAGGCCAGGGACAAAGCGGTTCCACCGTCCAGCATCTGCTCAGGGCACGACTTCGTGCCGAGCCCAGCGAGGGACTGGAGCAGGCAGTTCCGAAAGGGCAAAAGGACCGGCCGAGGCAACCTGGCTCCCAACACCAGCTCCTCCTGTTACCACAGTACTAGCGTTTATGGAGCGCTTACCATTAACTGGGCATTGTGTGAAACTATTTTCGTGTATTATCTCAACTTTATATCCTGCCCGTTTACAGCAGATGAGAAAATTGAGGCCCAGGCAGGCCAGGGAACTTGAGCAAAGTCGCACAACTTGTTTTGGCAGACACAAGATTTTTAAATGTCTGTATTTGTGCTTTTCTAAATTGCAAAAGTATTGCCTGCTTTTTGTGACGATTTCAAACAACAATCCTACTCTTAGGAGGTGTCATTCAGGGTTTTTTTTCCTTCAGTGAGTGGTTTTATTAGGCCTTGGACAAAGGCCCGCTGGGCGCTGCTCACCCTATTCCCTTCTGGAGGTTGTGTCCCTGGAAAGGGATAGAGGCTGTGGTCCTCAGTGTCTGTATTGTGGGCTGGTGGGTGGGAGGCTCAAGGGCAGGAAGTGGCAGGTGCTTATGTGGTACATGGTAGCCATGGATGCTTCACTTGTCTTCTAACTCTGTTGCTGTGTAGCTAAGAGCAGGGTGAAAAAAGGTGTATTGTAGGTTATTTTTAGATGTTGCTGGTGTGAATGGGATTGTTCTCTTTCCCAAAACCTAAGTATTTAACCTTTGCATCCAGCCAACTTGCTGAATTCTCACTAATCCTAATAGTCTTTCAGTTGCTTCAGTTGGAATTTTTTTTTAATTTTTTTGAGACAAAATCTTGCTCTGTTACCTGGGCTAGAATGCCATGGCATCAGCCTAGCTCACAACAACCTCAAACTCCTGGGCTCAGGTGATCCTCCTGCCTCAGCCTCCCGAGTAGCTGGGACTACAGGCCTATGCCACGACGCCTGGCTAATTTTTCTATTTGTAGTAGAGACAGGGTCTCGCTCTTGCTCAGGCTGGTCTCAAACTCCTGACATCAAGCAATCCTCCTGCCTCAGCCTCCCAGAGTGCTAGGATTACAGGCGTGAGCCACTGCACCAGGCCTATCCAACTGCCTTTCTACCTGGATGCTCTTGGGTGTGACAAACTTAACACATCCAAACTGAACTTCTGATTACTCCCCTCCAGCCTCTTCATCCCATTTCCCCCTTTTGTGTGTGTTGTGTGTGCGTGTGTGTGAAACAGGGTATCACTCTGTCACCCTGGCTAGAGTGCAGTGGCATAGCTCACTGCAACCTCAAACTCCTGGGATCAAACAGTCCTCCTGTCTCAGTCTCCCGAGTAGCTGGAACTATAGGCACACACCACAATGCCTGGCTAATTTTTCTATATTTTGTAGAGATGGAATCTTGCTCTTGCTCAGGCTGGTCTCGAACTCTGACCTCAAGCGATCCTCCTGCTTCAGCTTCCCAAAGTGCTAGGATTACAGGCATGAGCCACCGTGCCCAGCCCCCATTTCCCCTATTTCAGTAAATAGCACAACCACCCACCCAGTTGTTCAAGCCAAGAACCTGGGAGACATTCTTTTCTCATATTCCCATATCCAATCCAAATGCAAAGTTTAAGCAATTCCACCGCCAAATCGCATCCTTAATCCCTCCACATGTCACTGTCTCCACTCCTACCAACCTAGTCCAAGCCTCCAGCATCTCCCTTGAGAGTGGCTGCGGGAGCCTACTAACCAGCCACTATTCCACTTCCACTTTTGTCTTTTTCTAGTTCTTTCCTTACACAGCAGCTGGAGTAATCTAGTAAATGGATCGCCTCTATCCTGCTTAAAACTCTTCCCTGGCTTCCCATTACTTTGGGATTAAATTGGGATTTAATCCTAAATGCTCTTTGTGTTGGCATTTCAATATCCAACTATTGAATTTCTAATCCTAGTTCTTTTCCATGATCTCTCTATTTGGTTACTTTTCAAAACCACTTGTTGGGTCATGGATTTCATATCTCTCTTACCCCTCTGAGGTTATTATCTGTATTTCTCCCCAAGCTTCTATCTCTTTTCTCTGTTAACTCAAATTCCTTTGACATTGGTTATTTTATTTGTTGAGTTTGGTTCCTTTCTTTTAGAGTGTTGGCCTTTTTAAATTGTTTGATCTTTAGTTGTGCTCACCTTTTCATTTTCTGTGACTGCTGCGTCTGTTTATTAAAGGCTGCCTCCAGTGACTGGGGATTGCAACTGGTGGTGGGTGGGGAGGGAGGGAGGTGTCAGCATCTCGTATCCTGGATATGGGTCCTTCCGCTTTCTCTTAAATGTCACCAGTCAGTCCCTCGGACACTGCCCTGTTTGGCCCATGTTCCCTAACCTCACCCACCGCCAGCTGCCTGGCACAGGCCATTTCTGGATTGCCTCACCTTCCCCTATTCACTCTTGCAGCTCTTGCAATCAGTTCACTGTCTTTAACCCTTTCTATTGAACTAGTTGGTGTGGATTCTCTTTTCTTGGCTGGACCTTGAATAATATTTCTGAAGCTAATTTTATCCTTCAAAATGTTTTTTTAATATGTGTTTTTTCTTTTTTTAATTTTTTTGTTCAACTTATCAGAGGTTCATTCATTTTTATTGGTCCTTGGTTGTATTTATCGAGCAACTGTATACTACTTTTTCTTTAACTTTCATTTACCCTAATTTATTATCTTTAATATTTCTTTTGCTCTAACTTGTTTTGGTTTATTTTACTAATTCTCTTTTAACCCTTTAGGTGAATGCTTAGTTCAGCTCTCTTTTAATGTCCTTGTATTCTAATAAGTACATTTTTTTTTTCAGGGCATTATGAGGGTACAAACATTTTGGTTACATTTTATGTCTTTGCCTCATCCAAGCGAGGGTGAGAGGCATGCCCTTCCCCTCTACAATGCTCCCCATGTCCTTTAGTCGTGAGTTTACCTCCCCCCGCCCCCGCTAATAGGTACATTTTAAAGCACTTTTCCTGTAATACTGTTTTGGCTATCTCTCATAAGTTTGAGATGTAGACTTTGTGTTGTTATTCGTTTTTAAATAGTCAAATTCCAATTAAGTTTTTTCTTCAACACAAGAGTAAAGTAGAAATTTTTTTTGTATTCGAGTGTTTTAAATTTCTGATTAGAGAATCTGGGTTTTCTGATTTTGATTTTTGGGAATGTTTTTAAGATTTTTTTTCTTTTTTGTTGTTGGAACCAGGATTTGATCCAAAGTCTCTGATTCCACAGCCCAAGTGCCTGACATTGGCACTGAGTTAGGCCACTCCTGGGGTCTCAGCTTGGCCACTAATGAGCTCTGGCCATCTGTCTTCACCTCCCTGGGCCTCAGGATAATCAAGACAAGGGAATTATACTAGATAATTTCTCAGATTCCTTCTAGCTGTAAAAAAACAAACAAGACAAAACCCTAAAAACGAAATAACTGAGTTTCCAATCTGGATGAGAAAGAAGTAAGAGATGCACAAGGTACTGTGGGGTCCAGAGAAGGGAGGGGACCCATCTGATAGAAAGGAATCAGGATTCAGGAAAGGCTTCATGGAGGAGTTAGTATTTAAACCTCAAAGGATCATTCATTCATCCATTTAATAAGTATTTATTTAACACCTATCTACTGATTTCTAGTTGAAGGTAATGGTGAATAAAACAAACAAAAATCTTGCTCTGTGGAGTGTAGTTACATATGGTTACATTGTAGGGGTTTGACAGTTTGCCTGTCTCAGCCAAGCTAGGAGGCACCACCTATTTTCCAATCATTTTCCCTTTTTTTTATTTCATCATGTTACAGAGGTACAAATGTTTAGGTTACATATATTGCCTTTGCCCCACCCGAGTCAGAGCTTCGAGCGTGTCCATCCCCCAGATGGTGTGCACCGCATCCATTAGGTGTGAATATACCCATCCCCTCCTCCCCCAACCTACTTGTCACCCGATGAATGTTACTACTATATGTGCACATAAGTGAAGATCAGTTAATACC